GGGGGTGTGAGGGACTGTGATCAGGGCATGTAATCCAGTATGTCAAAGTACAGTTGGGAACAAGGAAGTGCATTGTAATCAAAACAACTGAATTATCAAAATAAATCATGAAATTATGCAATCACCTCTTGCCCACTGAGTTGAAAATAACATCTTTTGTTGTTCTAGATGCCACATCTAAAGTGAAGGTAATAACTTCAATAATTTTTACAGTCACATTTTGATTTAATTGTAAACTGCTTAACCACTGGCTATATTTCATGTGCATATTCTTACTGCTGACTTGTTTGTGTTCTTGTCAATTGATTTCTGGACTGCAACCAAAACTGTGTGAACCAGAGCATATTTCCAAAGACTCTCAGGATGAGATCAGTCTGAGAATCAACTCTCACACCAAGGGAGCTGGTTTCCAGCCGTCACTGGCCCATGAACAAATAATCCTTCACCTGTGTACTTCTTGTTTTCTTTCTTATTTTTTTTTTTTTTCAACCCAAAATAAAATCTTTTTGTATATTATGTAAGAAATGCTGCCAGGTTACTCTTGACTGAGGCAGACTGTATTAAAGGTTCTGAGGCAGTGAGGAGTTTACTACAGCCCTTGCCATTCTGTTCTGATCACACCTGCTCTCCTCAGTAGCACATTGTGCCCTGTTGTTAGCTTAACCTGTCTTGACTTCAGCCTGAGCAGTGGGACTGCTGGTTAAGTGAGAAATATACATGACACCTAACATGTTTGAGTTGCAGAGCATGAGGAACAAGCAGCTTCCAAATGCCATAGCCAAAATAAAATTATACATGATTTATATTTATTAATATTATAGATATTATGAGTAGTAATTATTTGCATACCATTAAATTTCAGGAAAATCATAGAATCACAGAATGGTTTGGGGTGGAAGGGGCCTGAAAGATCATCTCATTCCAATGCCCTTGCCATGGTCAGGGACCCCTTCTGCTCTCCCAGGTTGCTCCACGGCCTGTCCAACCCAGCCTCAAGCACTTCCAGGGATGGGGCATCCACAGCTTCTCTGGGCAGCCTGTGCCAGGGCCTCACCACCTTCACAGGGAAGAATTTTTTCCTAATATTTGATCTAAACCCACTCTTTGTTTAAAGCCATTGTCTTCTCCTGTCACTACATCCTCTTTTTATAAAAAGTCCCTCTTCATCTTTCTTGTAAGCTCCCATCAGGTGCTGGAAATCCACAGTCAGGTCACTCTGAAGCTTCTCTTCTCCAGGCTGAATAATCTCAATTCTTGCAGCCTTTCCTCACAAAAGAGGTGTTCCATCCCTATGATCATCTTGGTAGCCTCTTCCATCTGTGTCATTGATGAAGATATGAAATAACACCAGTCCTAGTAGGGATCCCTTAGGGACACCGCTTGTCACTGGTGTCCATAAGGATCCTGAGGCACTGACCACCACCCTCTGGATGCCACCATCCAACCACTTTCTTCACCATCTAACAGTTCATCCATCAAATCCATCTCTCTCCAATTTAGAGAGCAGGATATTGTGGGGGATTGCATCCAGGTAAGTGACTTCTGTAGTCCTTCCGTTATGCACTGATGGAGTCACCCCATCGTAGAAGGCCACTGGGTTGGTCGGGCGGGGCTTGCTCTTGGTGAAGCCATGCTGATAGTCCCAAATCACTTCCCTGTCCTCCATGTGCATCATCAGACCTTCTATGAGGAGCTATTCCATGATCTTCCCAGGCACAGAGGTGAGGCTGACACGTCGATGGTTCCCAGGGTCCTCCTTCCTGCTCTTTTTAAAGAAGTTTTAAAGAAGCGTGTTTGCCTCTTCCAGCCGCCTGGGGCTCCACCTGACTGGCAGGACTTGGCAAATATGGAGAGTGGCTTGGTAATTACATCAGCCAAATCCTTCAGGACTCTGAGAAGTGTCTCAGATTGCTATTCATCTAAGTGGAATTTATCCCCATATGTTGCTTATCATCCCAAGAATAACCTAGGAAGAGGCTGTGCATTTCTCTTTATTGGCCTCTCTGAAACTCAGTAGTTTTGCTATTCTTTACATCCCTGCTCTTGAACCTTATGAAGTGTTGCTGTGTGCTACAGGCACTTCAAAGAGCTTCTATAATTTAGACAAGTGCTATCATTCCCATTTTTATACAATGGATTTTGAATTTGAATCATCTCACAAACTTAAAACGTGTATCATTTTTTTCTGATTGCCTTGTCTTACCCATCCTGGAAAGGGTAGGTCCACTTTTCTCCAGTGTTACATTTAGGGCCTTTGTTTAGGGCTACTGCTGACAAAATAAGGCAATATCCAGCTCCCAGAACTCCAACGGCGGCAAATATTATAGAAGAAAACATCTGATGAAGAGAAAATAAGGTTGTTTTGGTTCTCATTCAGTCAAGTGCACCCTTAATGTCAGTGAACTTACCCTAAATGAAGGTGTTAATAGTCAAATAATCATCACCTGAACAGCTGAAGTCAATTAGTTTTCATTTCATAGTAAATGTGTAATGCATTCCTGTAGAGGTATTTTAAAGCTTGGCCATCGTTAGCCCTGTGTGCCTGGGGAGGAGAAGGCAGAGGCGGGCAGCAGATGGCACTGCTCCCCTCTGGGGCCTCCTGTTCCCCTGCAGCACTTGAGTTTCCTCAAGAAACTGCAAGCAAGACTGAAGTCTTTGACCACTCAAGGCATTTTAAAAGGTTGACTCTATCCTTTACAAGTTAGCTTTCGTATCTTGGTTGTATTTGGACCAAATAATTATAGTTTTCCTTCCCAGCTCTCTCTTTAGGTTTCATATTAGTATACTTTATCTCCTCCCAGGTACTTAGCAGTGTAAGCTCTGGTAGTGTCATTGGAATGGATGGCAAAGTATGTCTTTATTTTTCTGGCTTTTTATTACACTATATTATACTATATGTAAGTAAACCATGCAAGAACTAATGTCCTGCTTGAATTCTGAAAAAAATCTGTAGCCATTACAGTTTGTAGGTAGAGGTAGTGTCCTTAATTGTAATGAAGTAATACAGGTGAAGAAAAAAAACAAACTTCCAGGTCATAAAATCATTTGGGTTGGAAACAACCTCTAATACCATCAAGTCAAATGTGAGTTTTTGTTCAGACCTCATCACAAGACTTGTCTTGAGTCCTGGCATGCATTTTTATGTTGATAAATCTGACAGGGGAAACTTAAAAATTATGCTTTCATAGTAGACATCATAATAATGGATTTCAGCTAACTGGAATATACAAGACTAAATTTAGTTCTCAGTCATGCTGATGGTGATAAGGCCATAGGACTCTTGTAGTGCAGTGTACTTGGTAGTCTTGACTGTATTAATATTCCCAGTCAGCTGCACTCTAACATGCCTGTCAGCAAAGAAGGCAGGTTACTTTGCAGGCAGCACTGTGCATGTGCAGGTTGGCTCTCACCAGCCAGGGCTTGCCATGGTCACTGTGTGTGACAGTGGTCACTGTGTGTGTTCCCTGGTCACTGTGTGTGTCCCCTGGTCACTGTGTGTGACAGTGGTCACTGTGTGTGACCATGCCCCTGGTCACTGTGTGTGTCCCCTGGTCACTGTGTGTGACCATGCCCCTGGTCACCACCTGCTGAGCAGCAGCAAAGCTGCAGTGCTTGGCTACTTGGGGAGTTCTCTGCAAAACTCAGCTAGCTTCTCTTCACTGCTTGCAGAAAATTGATCATGCAGTGTTGTAAATAGAAACAGATGGCTCCATTTCCTCCTTCTCAAAGTTCAATCTGTCTTATTGATATTGCATGAAGACAGCATCAAAGAGAGAATTTAGGGAAAGCTCTTTGGTCAACTTCATAGGTGCAAATCTTTTCCTGTTTGTTTTTCTCTCTTTTTTTTTTTTTTTTTTAGTTCAAATTCTGTTCCTTTACTTATAAACTGTAATGATTTACTAGATCCAAAGAATTTATTTTGAAAGGACATATTTTCCTACTAGAAATATTTTAAATTTAAACTAAAATGCTTGAGAAGTTTATTAGTGTCTGAAAGTATTGTTTGGAAATTTTCCTAGTGTGAAAGGAAGCTATAAATTCAAAGTGGACTCTCCTTCACACTGCTTAAAGTAGGAGGTTGGATTAGGTGACCTCCCAAGGTCTATTCCTTCCTGAAATTTCCTGTGAATCTGATGAGATACAGCTCATTTTGTTGGCCTTCAGTGAGTTGGGAATGTAATGTCTGACTGCCCAGGTAATTTTAAAAGCTACCAACAAAGTGGCTAAGGAGAGAATTGTTGTACTCTGCAAAACAGTGTAGATCTTTCAGCAATAAATTTTGAGTGTGATAGTAACTAAAAGTATCTTGTGCTGGCAAAAACCAAAGGGGCCGTGCTGTTGTGGTACCGGTGGTAAAACATCAGAGGCATAACACAATTTTTACAGCCTGCTTTTTCCACTTCCTCAAACAAATGCACTCAAACAAATGTCAGGGCTGTGTGTCCCACACTCAAGACAGCCTCTGTCAAGACTCACAATGACTGTGAGAGGAAGATACATATATCAGTAACAATTTAGCTTTTCCTTTTTTTGCCATGTTTCCTTTCACTTACCGCAAACCTCTTTCCACAGCTTCGATTACCACAGCATCCACAGCAATCATTATTCTGAAGGCCCAAAAATACCAAGGCAGGGAAGATCATCTACAAATAATAGAAATAGTTTGAATTGGGATTAATTCGAGTTACTTTTTCTTGTAAATATAATAATTCTATGGGGGTTTTTTTCTTATCATTAGGTTAAGTTACTTATTGCCAAACCTTTGGATGACTTATATCTTATTTGTTTATCAAAGAAGAATTTGCAGTCCTGAGAAAGCTCAGGACTTTCAAGTCATGGCTGCAGGTGGGGGGAAAGCAGGAATTTTGATACTTACCAACACACCAGATCCCAAGATCCCTCCGAAGTACCAAACTTCATCTGTAATGTGTGCACTGTCTTCAGCCACTTTTCCGCCAGGGAAAAACAACAAAATGTTAGCAAGGGTGCCGAGCACGGCCAGGGGGATGAGAGTACCTCCCAGGCACTTGGCACAGCCTCCCGTGCACATGCTTCTTTAAAGGAATTGAAAACACAATTGAAGACAAAATCTCTCAGATGTTCTCAGAACTGATTTATAAAAAGAAGCTTCACGGTGTACTTTGCAAAATCTAGTTTCTGTTGCACCGTTAGAGGAGCTCAGCCTGTAGAATGCTCCTGTCAGTGTTCCTGCAGTCAATCCAAAACGCACTGTGCTGGTTTTTATATGTCCTTGCAGCCGTGATGTCAATTTTCTGAACGTCTGTAAACGAAATTACGTTCAGGGCAGCCTCTCATTTAACTATGACAACCCACAAACTCTGTTAATATTTTACCAAGGTGGCTGACACTTCATAATCTGGGCTCAGGACATGGGTAGATATGTGTCTTAGTTCTGGATCATCATTTTTGCAGTATATGATCTTCCTTCATACTAGAAAACATTTCTCTTGAAAGGACTGACATAAAAAGGCATAATGAGTCAGCTGATATGAATAACATGTGTAACATATTAACACATTAAACTTGGATAAAAATCCAAGTTTTTACATGTCATGAGACAGTTCTGTAATTGAAATAGAGAAACTACTAAGAAAAGTATAATAGAGAAAAAAGAAAAAGAAGAAATGGTAGAGAAACTACTACAAAGATGAGCCATTACAGACCAATGAAGATACACATCCACAAACCCAAGAAAGTTCTTGTGTTGCAGCAGACTAAGGAATGCTTATTTATTGGTGTTAGGCAGTTTGTCTGTACCTCAGGGCATGTGTTTCATTTCCTTTTTTGGGATTAAAAGGTTTATTTTATATTTATTTTGTGATTTCATGCTACAGGATGGAAGACTGTTTACAAGAAAGATTGAATTAGAAATGCTTTAATATTTAATTGCCCTCCTCACCAAACATTAAGTTATATTATGAAGATGAATCAAAACTTGACAGTGTTAGCCAAAAATTGTTTTTTGAAATTATGGCATATGCCATGTTTTAGGATAACTCACACATTTTTTTCCTTTCATAGGAAAATATTTCATATCACATATACCTAAGCTTATTCAATAAAGGATGGCAAGAAATGATTGTCACTGTTGCCAATCATATGCATTCTGTAATATATTAGGAAGACCACAGGATAGTTTTTTTGAGGACCAGTCCTAAGAATTCTAGTGTCTGTAGTGCTGAGCAGACTCATGATTTCTGAGGATATGACACTAGTTGACTTTGTAAAAGGTTTTATTCAGATATTTATTGAGATGAATTTTTGAGCAGATTCTCAAGCTGGCGTATAATGCAACACAAATTAAGTCAACAGGTTCTTGGTATGAAGCGCAGATCTAGCAGAACAGCCCAGACAGTGAAGGTGGTTGTTCCTGGTGGACTGAAAGGTCTTCATTAATCACAGTGCATTCTATGCACAGGAACCTTCAGTTGACGATTTACCAGTTTCTGAAAGTTGTGCGGTTTTTGTTTTTCAAGTGTCATCATGATTCCCCTCTTAGTGTTTTTGCTAGAGGTAGTAAGGGCTGTGAACAACACGTTCAGTTTGATATTGTTTGGAAAGCATGGCTCTTTGCATCCTCCACTGCTCAGCCAGAGCAGCTGCGTGTGCCAGGGCTGGGAGCTGCCAGGGTGCTGCCAGCCAAGTCCTGGCGTTGTTGTGTCTGGCCTCTGCTCAGAATAAACAATGCCCGAGGTGTTTCCACTGGTTTGTTGGTTGTCTCTGAAGGAGAGAGGAGCCTCTGGGTCCGTCTGTGTAACAGCAACATACATATGGCCCCCGAGGATAGCATTTTGAAAGGCACATGCTCATAAATTTAACTTTTATCTCAAGAAGGACAGCTATTATGCAATTGAAGAGCAGGCAGAGAAAAAAGTCCTGAGAGCACAGCCTACTGTGGTATTCAGGAGGTTTTCAGCTGGGCCAGTGTAAGCAATTTTCATGGCTTTCAACAGCCAGTTATTGATTCTGTGGCAAAGATTCAGAACCTGAAAATTCTCCATACATCATCTGATACATTAAACAGGCTTTCACGACATTCCCGTTTGGTAGAGCATCTGTAATTTGGCTCCCACTTACAGTGGCTCAGTAACAGGCACAGGGAAAATGTTTGCTGTAGCTGGAATATAAATCTAAGCTGACTTTCCTCCCATTCTCTTTGTGACTAGAATGTGTCTTTTTTTGCAATTGTGTATCCTGGCTTGCAGTAAAGAGGAAAAGTTTTAAGTTGTATTGCATCCAGCACCCTGCCGTCCTGATTCACAGCAAGTGCTTCAAAGGCAGATACTTCCACCAGGTTGTTGCCAGGTGTTCACAGCACTCTTGTACTTTCCCTTCCTCTGCTCAAACATTGCCAGTGCCACTGAAGTCTAGCCAGACCCCTCTGTTCAACTATACTCATTTATACATGGAGTTTTTAAACTATTGCCAGCTTTTATGTGAGGGCTTAAGCTACATCTTGTTTTCAGCAGGGAAGTGGCATACAACCTGAGCTGGAAAGCAGCACTCAGACTGAATCAAGAATTTTCCAGGGAAAAGCTGGGTGGCTTGCACACCCATGTTTTCCAGCTCTGGACATCTGTCTGGGAGGAGTGACCCATTATCAAACATTAGCCACAATTCTTGTCCTGGAATAAATGCTTCATCTTGGAGACTCTGAGTGCTGGTTATTGGGGTGGAGCCAGTCTTCTAATGTTGTGTCATCCTGTCCTCTTGGAACAGCATGTTTCTAGGAGCTGTGGTATCATAATGGAAGGCACTCCTTTCTGGTGTGCTTTGGGAGGGTGTTTCCTTCACTCCTCATTTCCTGAGTCATAAAAGGTCCATGCTGTGCCAAAAGGTGAAATGGCATATTTTACTGTGGAAAATTATAGGAATATCAATACTCAGTTTTGGTAGTTTCAGAAGGCTATAAGCAGTACTGATACCGTCCAAGTTTTGTATTTTGATGTATCTAGTAATTTGGAAATGTAGATAGGTTTGTCTTGATCAGTTTTTTGTGTTAATTACTGAACTCATTAGAAAATTATGACCTGAGGTCATGAGTCCTTGCTCTTGTGATTTGTGTAGCTGCTTCCATATTCTAAATGTAGTTTGGATATCTGGAGCTTGATAAGCTTGTGACAAGTACTGACCCTTCCTTAAATTGAGCCAGGAGGGAGGGGAATGGTAAAAATTTATAAGTAGGATGGGATTTACAGTAGCCTAGTTAAAAATTGGTTTGTTCAAGCCTCTGCTGGTGCTATAAGCTTGTGTGTGTGCCTTTATATATGTGTATATATATTTATATATATGTGTTATAATTTATAAAATATATATGGTGACACACTGATATCAAGCAAGACATACTGAAGAATGTTCCTGCATAAGATTGCTCTTAACACACGTAACATGATGTGGTAGTTGCTTGGTGTTGTGCAGTTCCATTGAGGGCTGGAGAGAGGCTGGTAAACTGTGCACCAAGTTATTTTCTTTGAAGAGAGTGCAATGCAGAATGAGCTGCAAAACGTCTCACTTCATGTGACCCAAATTTTTATTGCAATGAAGGATACACAATTACAGAATAGCACAATCTGTCCTTTGGAGTATTCCAAAAAGCCCTCCAGCTCTGACAGCTGTGAAGTAAAAGGGTGCATGCAGTGGGATGTACTGAGGAGACAGACCCTGCTCCTCTTGCTGGAAATTCAGTCACTCCTCCCCTGTGAAATGCATGGATATGCAATGCATGTCAGTGAAAGGCTGAAGAGTGGGGCTAGGCATGTACAGGAGTAAAAGCCATCATTGCACCCTATACACAGCTTTAGCATGGGAGAAATGAATTCCCTTTCCTGTTCCCAAACTCCTCTGTTAGACCTGGGGGCTGGCTGTGTGTGAGGCACCTGAGAGCAGAGAGGGGGAGTTGCCTTAGGAAAAGCTAGGTGTCATGAGCTTCCTAATGACAGGTTTTCCTGTCCCAGCCTCAGCTGCTGGGCTTTCCCAATCTCTGGAAAGGACAGACTGTTGATGCATCCCCTTCATATCTTTTTGACCTTTGTCAAAGCTCAGATAAGAGCTTATGACAAATGTAGCTTGGTTGATGACAAATGTAGGACTGGGTGGTGTCCTCAGTGGCACGTGGACATCACATCATCGTGAATACAAAAAAAGCCAAGTATGCTGATGATAAGTGTCTAGGAGAAGTGGGCTGGAAGGCCCATTAGAACTACTGTATTCCACTGTACTGTAACTCTGCTTTATACTCCTTTGCTGTTCTGTAGTTCTGTAGTCAACATTCTGTTTTACATGTCTGTGTTTTACAAGCCCCCACTGCCCATTTGCCAGCTTTCCCACAAGTGCCCCTTTTGACATGGAACATCTTCTGTAGGGGTGTCAATAAAATTCCATTCCTTTATTCTTCTCAAGGCATACTGTGAACATGAGTCCAAAAGTAACTGTCAACCAGTAGCAAATGGGCATGTGGGCTCTAAGCACTCTCTGATACTTCTCTAATTCATATTACATAGCTATGTAATTTAAATTACAAATTTAAATTACATAGCTATGTGTATGTAGTACCTCTTCTTTTTTTCTACTGTTACATTTCTTGAGTTTTGTGATTTTTTTTTTTCATTTTTACAAAAGGTATGTTGTTATGTCTTAATGAAATTGCCTGTTTTGTAATCCACAATGTGTGTAGGAGAAAACAAATGAACTTCAGAATCGCTGTGGACTATATAAGTACCACTGAAGTACTTTTAATAATGAGGATTAAAATTCCACCTAAGGTATTTTCAAAAATGAGAGAACAAAGGAATTGTTTCCTTTAGGGTTACCTGTTATTTATTTTTCTGTGTGCTCCTTATTGTCTTGTTATGAGTTTTTCCCAAGTCACACAAATTATTATTTACAGTGGTTATATAGCATTTGCAGTTACATATTCTTCCCATCACTATGCATTGCTGAAATGCACAAGTGTCCATTGGGTACAATCATCTTCTTGCTGGTATAATTTAGTTTTTCTTCTTCCTCTTGACTTTACAAAAGCAGGCAAACAAGCAGGAGATGCCTGGGAAATGATGCCAGCTGCTTCAAATTTTAGAAACAGATGAGTCTGCCTCCTATTTTTACCAGATGCATTTATTCTTCCCTGCTTTGCAGGGAAGTGTCACAAGATGCTATCACTGGGCTTGGTTTTCTGTAATTTCTTTCTCAAAGTGACTGCTTGTCACTGACTTATATGTCTTCAGAGCCCAGCGTTCCTCCCGATTCAGTGTGTTTCTGAAGCAATATACAGTGTGTCTCCATGTCTATTATCCTCACAAAAACCCAGTGCTTTTCGTGCTTCAGTCTGCTTCTAGTTTCATCTTCTAGCAGTCACCAGACATGATGTTTCACTAGAAAATTTCAGTTGTAACTAATATTTGTACAAGGACTCTAAATCTTTGAAAATATGAGAAATTCAAATTACTCCTGCTTGAGTGAAATCTTGGCTACAACTTGAAATACATAGTTCCCATCATGTTCAGTGAGGGCAGATTTTAATCCTTGTATTGTTGGTTTTGACAGGTTTTTTTATGTCTGTATTTTGAAATTAACCTATCTCTGTGTATTTTGCAACAACAAACATCTTTAAGTTTTCACATCACATGCCTGCACCTGGAATTTCCTTCTTTGCTTTTATAAGCACTCAGATTCTTACAGTGTGTGACAGGGCCATTCACCTGGTTGTTTTTCTCTCCCATTTCCCTTTCAAGGGGTCCTACAGACAGCCCAGGGCTTTCCCAGCCTCTCTGGTGCAAATGCCAGGAGTGCTGCTGTGGCTGCTGTGGCTGTGGTTGCTGCCCTCCCTGTCTCCAAACCATCAGTGCTGGTGCAGGTGGACATTGTTTCTGTCTTTTCTGGGGTGCAAACATCAAGTGCACCTTAAGGGAATATGTAGCCTTAAGGGAGAGTAGGTGCCAGAGATACAGACTGTGCATTCCTACCCCTTGCTAGATACCAGTGTAATTGAGCTGAGAATCCTTTTTAGAATTCATTAACTCACCATAGGTAGGAGCGTTATGTGACCCCAAATGTAAAACAGGAATAATGCTGCAAGCTTACATGGAGTTGCTTTGCCTTAACCTGGGAAGAGAATACTTACCTCTCATCTTTATTTCTAGACTTGGAGGAGATGGGAGTAGAAGAGAGCTCTTTCTTTCTGCAGCTTGTGTTGCTGATAAACAGCTTTCCCCATATGCTGGTTCCTGTGGTAAGAGGATGTGAGCTGCATGTCCATCAAACCTTCTGTCCAGTTGCATCCCTGCTGCTTTGCTTCATATTCTCCACTTGTGATGTCCAGCTGAATTATTCATATGCTCCATGGAAATGACATGATTTTGGCCAACTGGCTCTTTTGCTTCTCTTGCTTCTCCAGAATTCTGTAAGGGATATGTCTGCCTTAAGGCCTCTGTAGGGAGGAAGGAAGGGAAGGAAGGAAAGGAAGGCAGGCTGTGTTTTCTGTGGAAGTAGAACTGTTTCTATTTTGAGTCAAATCTAAAGGTTCTTACAGTTGAATGTGTTTAAATTTAAGGATTGCTGTGGGTCATTTCAAGCTGTATGTCTCATGTACTTAGATGCAATTCTGTACAGCTTTTGACTGACAGTAAAAATGTTATAAACACCATTCTCTTTAATCCATCTGGTGAGAGACTGGGATGCATAATGCCTCGTATTTATCTTAGTCATAACTAGAAACATGCCTCCAGCTGGCTAGTCAACCTCCTGTGCTGATTTCACCCGGACATTTGTTAAGAGTGGGGTCATAGTCCATGTTTACAATTTATTTCCTCTTCAGTTGGTTACTTTGTTATCCTCATGCTGTAATTCTATTGCAGAAACAAGGTTTTCAAGACTGATTAGTATTTTTTTCTGTGCTGATCTCCTCTGATAGTAAGAATCAAGAAATTCTAAAGGAAGCAGCTGGTTGGGTTTCTAGCTCTGGAATGCTTAGAACTCACAGCTGCAACTTTCTCTTTATTTTTCCAAAAGAAATAAAACATTTAATTTTTAGTTAATACATTAAGAATCTAGTTACATACCTTGGATGTATCCATGGCTCCTGTAAATTTCTGTGGGAAGCCTTGCTGTAGAAGAAATGAAGAATTGTCTTACCCAAATCATTTTTCATTCACAATTTAAACGCTACTATTTTTTCCAATATGCTCAAGTTGCTGGTGGCTTGACATTAAAATTCCTGTATTCCTATTATCAGCAATAGACTCCCCAGGCTGGTGGAGGGCAAGGTGAGATTACATGTTTGTGGCCTTGCCTGCAGTGGATTTATTCATCAGTCACTGTGGTAGTGGAGCTCTGAGGCTGAGCATTTGACTTTGTACTATTGTAACAGTTAACTGATTTTTCAGTTAACAAATAAATTAAAAAACTGAGACAGATCATACAATGTTAAGTCTAATTTCTAACAAATTTTGTGAAAGCTTGTGTTCTTTTTATGAAATGTTTGAAAATGTGTGAAAACTTGGGGGTTTCGTGAATTGTATGCTGTTTAGTGACAGCCCCGCTATCCAAAGAAAAGCCCACAGAGCAAGGACATGACATGCTATTCCTGTTATCAGACCAATAGTGCTTTATTTAAGCTTGTATTTCTTAGTTAGAGTTTCGGAGGGAAGATGGCACAACCTCTACACCTTCTCCCAACCTCTTTGCCCCTTCAGTTCTTTCTGTGCTGTTGCAGCTTTGAGAAGCTTGCCCTGTTCCTGTGTCCGGAGAATCCACAGGAGTGGGGGTGCATTTTCCATGTTGCTCCCTCACCCTCCAGTACATCCCTTTGCAATCATGAAGTCTGTATTAGGTACAGCAACAAAGTGCTTGCTCTGTAAATAGACATCCAGATGGTCTAAGGCAACTGTTTTGTATTTGACTCTGTTTGTGCCTGGTGATTATGGATTGGTTGCTATTAAATTTGCTAGGCTGGGAGTAGAACTATACTGCTGGTTATGGTATCCACATTAAGCTTCAAATGAACCTTAGCAATGGAAATCTTGCCTCTGGGCATGCCCTGTCCCTTCTTACAGCAAAATTCTTGTCATTGTCAGTATGCAGTATATTTTTAGACAGGGTTCTGTTGCTGAGTTGTTACTAAACAAAAGAACATTCTAGCTCTCCCTTCATTTAATTACACCTTCCTATTTTCTTTGCAGATAAATCTTGTCCCAGCTCAAAACCAAATTAGCTATTACTCCCTTATTTAAAGCCCAATGGTTTTTAGGTGTAGTATGTCATACACAGAGTTGGAATGTGTTAACTACACAGAAGAATCTTTTATTATACTCTATAGTTTAAATCTTCTTTTATTTTCTGAGACTTACATGGACCATTTCATTTTGTCAACATAGTGAATACAAGCATGATATGTGTTTCCAGAAGAATTTGACAGTCTTGATTTCAGAAGTGAAAACAAACTTTAAACCTGTATTTTTAATCAGATCTTTCTGTTTCAAAACAAGTAAAAAAGCTTTGTCTAGAACAAGTTATATTCGGTTTTATACCTGGACCTTCACTTGCGTTCTCAAAGTTGGCACAAATCATTAATTCCTTTTCATCACTTCAGTTTAAACTCTACCACGAACTATAAAAAAGTGGTGCAAGGCTGTCTGCCTTTCTTCCTAAAGCAGGAAATCTACAGAAAAGAAGAGCAGGTTTATTTTTCTTCTTGTATCATTGAAGTAATACCAACTACACCTATTGAGAGGAAAAATTGTTTTACCATAATAGGTTAATTAATGGGTGTCTTTCAGCAGCCTCTGTTAAAATGGTTTCATTTCCTGGCAGCTCTTTCTGCTTCACAGACAACTTTGTGTCAGTAAGGCTGAACTGAGTGGAGGATAGGCCTTTCTGTGCAGTCATAAATGGGCAACTACATTAGATTTCCATATCATGGACAGATTGTTGTGTAGGGAATGTAGTGCTACAGGTTGCTGAGAACCAAACGTCAGCAAAAATAAACAGGTAATTGAGAATGAGCCTGTTGATAATGTAGGTTCATCCAGGCTAAAAGCTCATACAGCTGCAGGAAGCACAATGCAACTTCCCTTCCCTTCCCTTCCCTTCCCTTCCCTTCCCTTCCCTTCCCTTCCCTTCCCTTCCCTTCCCTTCCCTTCCCTTCCCTTCCCATGAAACACTTACCAGAATTTATTTTGGAGTTATTTATTACAGTTATTTTGGAGACACATCATATACGGGTTAGTGGTTTATTCCATTTCCTAAGGGCATGGAAGTAACCCAGTTTGAATGCAAAACACTGGGTTTTGTGAAACTCTTAGAACTGCAAGCTCAGGGTTGGTTATAAAACCTTTTCTTTTCCTTTTTCAAACAGCAAAATAAAATTTGGATCTTTTTCACATATGTTTTCTCACAAACCTATAACGTAGCATGTTTTACAACAATTTATGTGCTTAGTCTTGATTTATTAAACTTTTTTGTTTTTGGTAAATGGTTAAAACTGTGGTCAGAGTTGACTCACCTTGAGTAGATTAGTTATCACTTGTTAATATTTAATGGTACGGTACCAGGCTGTACCCTGTTCCTTTTAGAACACTCCCATGTTGTTTCAACAGATAATGCATCTCCTGCATTTATACCAGGGATCTGGGATGAAGTGTGCTGTATGACCTCAGAGGTGCAGCTTCTGCTGCCTTTATGTAAGGGCTGCCATGGATCCTAACAGTGCAAACATTCAGATTACAAGAGCCTAATTTTGGTCTTAGCAAAAAATTGTTAAAAATTAGCAATTTTAAATTTAAAATCAGGCCTTAGCAAAAAATTAGCAAAAAATTGGAAATAAATTAGATTTAAAAAAAGATAGGGATCATTCTAGTTAGTTATCTCTATCTCTTTGTGAAAAAAATGCTTAGCATTTTGAAGCTGGCCTAAGGTCAAGGGACTGTGGCAGACCTTAGAGTTCACATTTCCTGTTTTTTCTGTCTGTCCCTTAAGCTGTCTTTTCTGCCATCTCCTCCTGTCACCAGTGCCAGAGATCTGTTGCACCCCTGAGATGTACTGCCTTCTGCTGCCACTTGCCCGTGGCCATGGCTCTGCCTCCTCAGCTGTCTCCTGGTCATGCCCATATCCCCATGCACAGCACCATCACCTCTGCAAGCGAGACACTGATGCAGGGAATACTGCAGGTAAGCAGGTGCCTCTGTGCTGCAGAAACAGGGATCTGAAAAGATACCATGATAATATACAGACTCATCCTCTCTGGAACTTAGTTAAGCCTCTCCAATTTCTTCCCCTGCTCCCTTTGTTGTGTTTTTGGTACTTCACTGAAAGGACAAAAAAGGCACTTTTGGCTGCCCCAGCCTGCAGGGCTCCTGTCAGTGGCACAGGCAGCAGAGCTGGGCCAGCTGTGGTGGGAGCACAGCCGGGGGCCACCTGAGCTTCCAGCAGCGCCCAGAGGAGCCTGGCACTGGCTCCTTGGCAGCTGTGCCCTTTGCAGATGGGCTGATCTGGCTGAACACAAGTGGTTTGTTCACTGATTTGTTGTTTCCATCACTAGGCTAGTTTTTATCCTCTTTAGCTCTCTGATCCAGTCCAAGTAGGACCACAGGAATGCTAGGACCAATATCAGGGAATGAGTGTGAACAGGATCTCAGAAGAACATAGGGAGTTTACTCTTGTGAGCTGGATTGCATCCAGCTATTATTGACAAGAGAAGTCCATGGTCAGATTAAGTGCAAATAGTTCAATTAAACTCTTTTTGAGGTGTGTCTCTGTTTCAGTTTCCCCTCCTGGACTTCTAGCAGTCTGGGGTGATTTTAGGACTCCAGAATGAACTTACACATGTGGTACTAAGGGTCTGTTTTAATAGTGTTTCTTTTCAAGTTCAGTGTGTAGAATATTGCTGTATGTTTGTAAATTTGTTGGTAGCCGATTCTCACACCATTTAGAGGAGCTGGGCATAATAGCATAACACTTTCTGGAGTGGGGACTAAATTTTCTTTTTTTAATTGTTGAAAATGTTTCAAAATCTTAATAAACCTTACAGCCTGGTTGGAGCAAAGTAAGTTCTTTTAGATCATCACCAGTATATGCCACAGTACCACTCCAGGCTGCACTAAAGAGGCCTGTCAGGATTCTCCTTGGCTCCTCTGATGGTTGTTATAGTATGATCTTGTGGAAGGACTTCAGCTGTTGTCACACCCTAGCGTTTTTTGAGTAAAGTTATTGTATACTCTTGAAATATATATTCAATACTAGCTCAAAAGTACCTGTCTTGCTACATGACTTGTCATCTTAATACAATGACGTCTTTATTCCTGGCTTCTTTGTTTTTTCTGCTTTTACTGACTTATTAGCCTCTTTAATTGCAAGGTGGATCTCATCCTGTGAATTTAACAACAGGTTTGAAATGTGCTGAACCCTTTTATATGTCCTTTTGCATGGGATAAAATTGCCATTTCTCTAGCATTGAAGTGCAGAAGCAGCTCTGGCTGAATAGCTGTTTCAGAACCATGTTTATGCTCACAGGTAGAACCAGTTTCTCCCAGACACAGCAGATATGCAATTTGATTTTGTAAAAAAATCCTGGCTTTTAATAACATCCTTTTCTTAGTTTTTGTCTGTCTTTAAATGAAAGTCACTGAGGGGCATGGATTCTTCTAATTCTGATTTATATTTAGGCAACACAGTAAGTGACCTAAATTTTAAGATGCTGAAAATCACAATACACTAGTTGGAATTCCCTTGGGATTTGGTGTGTAAACTGCAACCAGCTTTCAGCACAAACAACAATTCAGCATGAATGTACAAGCTGTATGTTTTTCCAGGATACACATGTAGCCCTCATGCAGAGATCTTCCTCTGCAATTAGTGGTGTTAGTAACTTCTTGGTGCTTAGCCTTGGCTCTGTGTACCTTCACTGTTTCTGTGCACTCCCTGTGCTGTGCTGCTCACACAGGAGCATTCTGTTTCCTCTCTGAAAACAATGCCCTTTTTGCCTGATGCTCTTTGGGACAAGCCAAGGTGGTGACTTTCCATCTGAAGCTTTGACTTGGCAGACGACAGATGCATCTGCTCTGCCTTCTCCCTTGTGGAGCCTGCGGAAATCACCAGCAAATTCCCATGCTTGTTCAGCCACGTTATGCTGGAAGCAGACACTAAGAATGCATTGTGCTTTTTAGTTTTAAATTATGAGAAATCTACCACTGGACTTGATGGTGTGTGGTTACTTTTCCCTCCGGTCCACTTGAAAATAAGAGATCTTCTTAATAGTGCTGGTAGACCTTAGAAATTATACTTCCTTAGTGGTGGTGCATTTAGGTTGTATCTGTAATGATGTGGAAACAGATATTTCCAGAACTTCTGTTAGTCTTTAGAAAGTAACAAATATGGGAGTTTTAAGACAAAGGCATTTTAAAAAGTGATCTCTGCTTTCTTGACTGTTACCATTATCATAATCATTATCCCTCATAACAGGCATTTCTGCTAAATGCATAGCAGGTGTTACAATGTAGTAAGAATATTATAAAAAATAAAAATTAAAAAAAAATAAAGACCAACATGTTTAGTTCTTCATAATATTCTAGGGCATCTGATAAATCTGAGAGTTTTGTTTTGTTTCCAAGTTATTTTTTTAGTTGGAATGCATCTACCCAAAAGATGTAGATAAGATTGAATGTCTAGGTATGCCTCATAAGAAGGTATATATTTCTATACTTAGAAAAACAGAGTTGCATTTTAAATTTTTTATAAGATACTTATTTCTGATTAGATATTTCAGTTTTGCCTACTTCCTAATATTCCTCATACTTCTGAAAACTTCTGCGGTTCTGTTTTATAGTGAGGCTATATAATGATAGGTTGCAAAATGTGTATGAAAAGGGAAGGTTTTTATTAGAAGCTATGAGTTGTATTTTCTCAACATTTTTGCATTTTCAGAAAGGTCAGAATAATCTGCACACCCGCCTCTTAGACGCAGTACCCTGTAACACCAAGGGCAAGCATTCCGTCTAATCCAGGGCTCGCAGGAAAAAGTTCTTAGTCATTCATTCAGTGGCACACCCATTGCCTATTAAGAGGTATTTTTAGAAAGAAGCAGAAGTCCTCAGCATGGCTCACAGAGACTATTTTGAAATACCTGACTACATCCACACCCATGCTTGTAGCCTTTACTTGAGGAAATTTTTTAATTACAGCCATGGGAGTTGTGTCCAAGTTGAGCAACAGAGGACAGACTCTTAAACATAATGGGCTACCTGTTGGGCAAGTGAATTGACTATTTTCAAAGAGGGAACATTCATGTGCCGAGCAGTACTAAACCCAAAACATCCAGGTACATAGCATCTCTGAAAGTAGACATAAAACTTTGAAAGATTCCTGTAGACTTAGCAAGATAATTTGGGTTAGCTTGAGGTCAGGGTGATATATATGCTGGAAGAGAAATGGAAGTGCTTGATCTGTCTTGTCATGGTTTGTAGTGGCACCTCGTAACTGTGACAAATTTCCAGCAGGTGTGGGGATACCTGTGCCTGAGCTTTGCAGCAGGGAAGGAAATTCCTTCCATTGGGATGGATTTAGCTGGCTGCTTGAGTGTGTTGTTGGCCAGGAGGAGTGGGTTATGCCTTGATCCTGTCAAAGAAAAGTAGGTTTTGGCGGCTGGGGCAAGCCAGCGTGTGCAGAGGCACATTTTGAAAGTGGAGCAAACATCACTACTTTTGGAGTGCACAGGTAGAAAAAGTTGGGGTGCCCAATTCCTGACAACAGATCATTAAAATGCCTCCTCAACATGAGGAAAGTCATAGGCCTTCCTCAGGCTGAGGACTTAAAAAACCACATCTTTTTGTCAAACACCTTATCAGTAGGCAGGTCATGTGGGCTGTGCTGCCTTCTTATGTGCCATCTCAAGCAGCAAAAGGTTTTGAGAGGCACCAGTACAGCAGAGCAGCAGCAGCCCAGGGAGCTGTGTCCTGGAGCTCAGGACTACGGTAACAGTTTTCCCACAAAATAAAAGTTCAGGTGTGAGTATATTTGGCAGGATTTACAGGGCACCTTGCTTCTACTGATGTCCTCTTGTGAGCAAGCAGACTGGCACTCCAGGCTTTTTTCTTTTACATGTTGTTTAGATATCATGTGCTGAAGGTAAAAAATAACTTCATAACTTCATAATTGTACATATTTCTCATTAGCTGTTTTGACTGTTACATGTAAGCAATTTTCAAGTGTGTTATGAAAACCACCTTTCTGTAACTCATCTGCAAGTGAAATCTATTCTGTGTGAAGGAGCAAGATTTCCCCTCTTACACTGGGTTGGGAAAATTGGGTTGTTACTGCAGAACACTGTGCCAATTCATAATGCTTCTATCTTATTCTAAAAGATTGTTTTAGAGAAGTGGGGAAAGACTATCTCGCTTTTGGGAGTTTGTATTATGAAGAAATACATTCACTCTGCTGGTTTTAATATAAATTTTTAATAATGCTTTTTTATTGTTTCAAGCAAGAAGAAAAAGCTTTTTTTCCTCCCTGTAGTGTGTGAATGTTTGGGAAATGCCTCCATATAGAGAAAGAATCATAGCTTTGACTCTAAACATTTTGGAGGGTTCTAATTTTAAAGGTATGTCCTTCATATCCAGTAAGAAATTTGAGAGGCATGTGTTTGTTTTTCAAGTCTGATCAACTCTGAAAGAATGATTCAGACACAGAAGAACGAATCCATAAAAATTTTCAGCCACCTACAGTTCAAAAGAAGTATTCCTTGATACAGGTGAAAGGCAAGGCTCCAGTTCAAGTAAACTGTACAATGAATAGTTTTCTGCTACTAATTGAAGTGTGATTTTATTGGAGAAAGTATGAGACCATTTTGAATTTTGTGTTGAACACATTATTTTGCAAACTACAAAATAAACTTTGAAGAAAATTTCCAGTATGATTTAACTGATACTTATAAACAACTTTATACTTTTTCGGAATTTCTCACTGCTAACTACTGCACAACGCTGTGAGCAATATGATGAAATTAGTACCACGAGTTATGTGAATAATGCCTGGATATACAGTGCTTTTTACTGCTCTGTACTGTGCAGTAACATGGACCACGTTACAATGTGTGGTAAATCTAATGCAATTGTAGATTTTCTGCTGCTGCGTTCAGATGCTGAGGCTGTGGAACTCAGCTTCACTGACACGATCT